TTAGGGTAATCCACATTTCCTTAGTGAGCTGGGGAGAGTTTAGTTTAACAAAGCTGAACCCATCTTCTCTAGCCTTTCTGAAAACTTTAAGATACACCTTCTAGAGCAGTGGTATTTTCTTTTTCTTTTCTTTTTTTTTTTTTCGAGACAGTGTCACTCTGTCACCCAGGCTAGTGTGCCATTGCATACATTCAGCTCACAGCAAACTCAAACTCCTAGGTTCAAGCCATCTTCCTGCCTCAGCTTCCTGAGTAGCTAGGACTATAGTCACCTGCTGCTTTGCCCAACTAATTTTTCTAGTCTCGTTTTCCTCAGGCTGGTCTTGACTTCCTGAGCTCAAGGGATCCTTCCATCTTGGCCACCAGAGTGCCAGTATTACAGGCATGAGCCACCACATGTGGCTGGTAGTGGTATTTTCTGTAAAGAAATATGTTTGTAATCTTTAAGACAAAAAAGAAAGGAAAAAGTGTCATGTGACTATGTTCTCAGTGTTTAAGGGTTGATTTTTCTGAAGAATCTAAACTTGTACGAGTGTACTGAATACAAACTGAATATACTCTTTGATAAATGACTAAATATACATTCTAAAAATAAATACATGCACACAAAACATGAAATATTTATAAAAATTTTCACATAGAAATTTATTTTTCTTCTAAGAATAAAAATGCATCATAAGAAAGAAATACTTATAAAACTTTATTTCCTATTGTTTTAAGATAAAAAAGGTTTTGGGAAAAATAAACACTTAATAGCCATTAAGGAATTGAAACTGGCAGAGAAGGTAACAGACACACGATCTTTGAAGGTTTATAATTTTCCATAGTAAAAAGTGCCAAATTGCTAAGAATTATGTTTTAGAGTTAGCTTTTTTTTTTTGAGACAGAGCCTCAAGCTGTCCCCCTGGGTAGAGTGCTGTGGCATCACAGTTCACAGCAACCTCCAACTCCTGGGCTCAAGTGAGTCTCCTGCCTCCGCCTCCCAAGTAGCTGGGACCAAAGGCGATCGCCACAATGCCCGGCTATTTTTTTTGGTTGCAGCCGTCATTGTTGTTTGGCAGGCCTGGGCTGGATTGGAACCCACCACCTTAGGTGTATGTGGCTGGTGCCTTAGCCACTTGAGCCACAGGCACCGAGCCTAGAGTTAGCTTTTATACACACACATTTTCTCTCTCTCTTTCTATGTCTTACGTGTGTGCACACACCTGCTCCCCTAAAAGCTGTGCCAACTCAAATAATTTGTACAAAACCACGGAGCAAGATAAAAAGTGAAATACTATTACACAAGCTCAGAAGGGCCACTCCTGTAAATGGAGGAGTAAGTTATCAATTCAAAGAGCCTTTCTACAATGTATAAATTACCCTTACTGGATTTCAATTCAGTAAGAGTTCTATGAGAATACTAGGAAATTAGCTGGGAAACACAGTTTTTAGAAAAAATAAAATTATTGACGTTTTCACAGTCAAAAAGAAAAATATTCACAAGATAGAACTTACCACGATAGACAATAGTAAAAGTAGGGAGGAAGGTCAGCAACCAGGGGCAAGAAAGAAGAGAAAACAGAAAGCATTTTAATTACGGAAATTTCAAAACAAATAAGCAGCAAATGGCAGCAAACACATTTTTAAAACGCAAGCATCCATTTAAGTTTTACAACGGAGAAGCAAAAACGTGCAGCAAACTGAGCAGCTACAAAGCTAAAGGTCCAGTAAAAGGCAGTGACAAGAATATGAACAGAAGTCTGCGTGACTTTTACCATGCAGTAAACACGATGACAGAATGGTATTAATGTCATAACCAGTGAAAATTACACCTTTCAGGGGTCGATTCAGCATGAAGGCGGCTAGTCATGAACTGCTCAGAGGTTTCAAGATATTCTTTATACCTAATTTCCAGCCAATTCTCTTTCATGTTAGTAAATCTATGCGGAACTTTATCACCATAGATAACCACAGCAAGTCTCTCTACCGATTTCTTCATTGAGCCACAGGAATGATGGATTATGGTATTTGTAAGGCCATATGTAATCTGGAGAATTATGGTAGAACAAAGGCAGTGGTTCCATCTGAATAAAAGCTCAAGCTGGGCACTATTTCAGAAATGGAAGGAAACTCCGTAGTCACATTTGTTCCTAAGGTTTTTCTGTGTGGGTCTCAAAATAAGAATCACAATATGAAACCAACCAGGGAAACCTAAGCTGTTGAATCAACACAATTCTAACCGTAAAGTGAGAGGGGAAGCACACAGCTTTCTTTAACAAACTTGATTCATTACTACCTTGCTTTACCTCATCAAAATACATTAGGGCATATTATATAGAATCTCTTCCTTTACAGAAAGATTTAAAACAATGGTAATCAATTCTTGCCAACATCTTCTCAGGTAAGATGTGGTTTACATATTACTACATAAAGGAAGCACGTGCTGTCTTATTAAACAGATTAATACATCAAATACCATCAGAAGATGAGGTCAAATTAAATGTCAGGTTCTCTCCATCTCCTTATCCCTGTCTCCCTCCAAATTTAAATGGCAAAGTGGATTTCTTTCCTCAGCAGTGCTTGTTAGAGTCAAGGTGAAGGGACCCAAGATCAAATCAACACAGTATCTCATCAATTCTAAGGTGCACATTCTGCTCACATTTTAATATTTCTGTAGTTGGTATTCATCTCTCAACTGATAGGTTTGATACACAGGGTTTTTTCCCCTGCCTTAAACGCTTATAAAGTATGTTTTATAATTGATGGCATTTTAGAGCAGATGAAACATCGTATGTTCTATTTATACCTCTGAGCAATAACACATAAATCGACCTCTGTAAAATGAGGTGAAACGATATGGTTAAAAAAAAGAAATTCTGTGTGTAAATGTTGATGAAAGAAATGTTTCAAAGGATAAAAACAAACTGAAGTGATGACACAGTGGCTCATTTACCAAAGAATCTCATTCGTGTTAACATACGGATCTCCATGCACTGCCTAAAACCTCTCAAGGATAAATTTCTTAAAATAACTTACGGTATTTTAACAAAATTTCTTTGGTTAATGAATTCAGTTGATAGCAGATAGCAACAGAATGCCCACAGCTAGCACATGTGGGCAAAGCGTTGGCATAAGAAATCTGATCAAATCAATCTATTAGTGTCTTTAACTAACTAAAATATTACCTACCTCCCAGCCAGTACTCTGTATAATAAAAAGTAAAAAAAAAAAAGTCATAAAAAAAACTGTTTAAAAAGAACAAAAAAGGCCAAAGGAAGTTCAGTAATGTAAGGCATCATATACCATCATTTCTTCTCCATAAATAGAAGACAAACGGATATTTTAAACAACATGCTCTTTCACTGAAGACCTAAAATAATTTTATGAATTGTTTGTTCAAAGCCCACCACCTAAAATTTTGCTTTTAAACAACATTAATAAGTGAAAGTACAAATTGCAGAAAAAGGGAGCCAGCTGCTTCTTCATGTTTATGTGTTTAAATTAGATCTCTAAAGTAAACTTCACTTCACTGAATATCCAGAATAAACTGGAGTATGAATTGCAATTTTTCTCAAAGGCAACTGACACAAATGGTCAAAGTTTCTTGGAAACAGTAGCTCTAGATGTGCCAGAACTGACATGTACAATTTGCAATTCACAGCTCTAGGAGCTGGGATGAGGTTTCTTTGATAGTATATGTATGACAGATTATAAAGAGACCCACCTGTTAGGACCATGAAACCTAATTAATTTTTTGTGGCTTCAACATTTCTTTTTTTTTTTTTGCAGTTTTTGGCTGGGGCTGGGTTTGAACCCACCACCTCCGGCATATGGGGCCGGTGCCCTACTCCTTTGAGCCATAGGTGCCGCCCAACATTTTAACAGATGACACTAAACTCCTGATTCAATAGAATAGAAACCCTATTTGGAGACTGTTAAAAGCCTCTGAGATTATATCAATTCACCTAGAACAGTTTAACCCATGGCAAGCAAGAGGTCAAGCTGATAGACAATTAATTGGGACTAGTACTGCGTATAAAAGTGGATACTGAACCCCACCTCCCTCTGAGACAATGGGGGAAGCAGGTGACAGAAGGGGCCAGGAAAGAGGAGGAGGAGGAGGCCCAACTGGGCGCTTCAGAGTATTTCAATGAGTCAAGAGCTAGCAGTCTACCTCTCTTTAAACCAAGTTTAATTAGATTTTAATTTGGGTGATAGTATGTGGATTCTATAATGAACTATAAAAGAATAAGTACTGAAATCACACTATTATAATTCAATACGTATAAGACAATCATGTCACTCATTACTGCCACTAAATGCTATTTTCTTTCTGGAAATGCCGTATATCAAAGGATGGCTGAATGTAAACATCTAGGAAAAACAACACTCAGCTATGGTCATTGAAAGTATTAATTTATTACAGTTTCACATCATTTAGTAAAACAACCTTTTTTGGTAGCAAAGGGATAGATATCCATTTTAAAAATTAGATTCATAGGGCAGTGCCTGTGGCTCAAAGGAGTAGGGCACTGGCCCCATATGCTGGAGGTGGCGGGTTCAAACCCAGCCCCGGCCAAAAACTGCAAAAAAAAATAGATTCATAATTATACCTACACGTGAAACAGAAAAAACACAAGTTAAAAAATTTGCTAACTAGTAACAATTCAAAAAAGTGAAGGAGAAAAGCTATGAGGAAAACTGATGATGATCATTTACTTCAAGTGGGCTCTTTTTTTTTTTTTTTTGCAGTTTTTTGGCCGGAGCTGGGTTTGGACCCTCCACCTCTGGTATATGGGGCCGGCACCCTACTCCTTTGAGCCACAGGCACTGCCCCAAGTGGGCTCATTTTTTGCTAACGAGCCTTGCTTTGGCCATAAAGTACCATTTTGACTACTCATTTGTAACCTGATTAAAATGGTCATTTCTTGGGATCTAGTTTGACATAGTACAAAACAATGATAATGCTTTTAGAAAGTTTTCTCTGTTTATACTGAAGGTAGAAATTAGAATCATTACCTGATGGACAATTTTGCTGAATGCTTCTTGAAGTTTTCCATGAATTGTGGAGAGTTTCTTTGCATCCCGATTAGCTTCATGAATAGGAATGAGGACTTTGTAAACCTCATTTACTGCTTCGTACATGCCAGCCTACAAGAACGATGTTTGTGAGATACTGGTTTCTCTTACGTCAATAAGAAAGTAAAATAATTACAACGTATACATTTATAATATTTCTATTGAGACAATAACACTGAACCTTCCTCAACAGGACACAAAAACAAACTTCTAATTTTTAACTGTATTACAAGCTTAATAAAAGAATTTCTCACAATGTTAGCATCTCAAGATACATGTATATGTATATATGTCTGTTTGTGAATATTAATAAAATGAGTGCCTATTTACATTTCTATATAATTTGAATTAAGCATCCTGCTTCTACCTACTGAATAATCACTTCACTAAGGCAAACAAATGTGTGTGTGTCTACTTACTCATGCATATGAACTTTTGCAGAAGCTAATTCTGAGCCAAGAAATAAAAGAGATTCCATATCACACTGGTCACAGACACCCAATTATCTTATCATTAGATAAGCTGTGGTCTCTTGGGAAACTAAAATCATTTACTTTCCAAAATATTAAGTCAGCACAGGCAATCTCCTTGGAAACATCACTGATCTTTAAGAAAAGTTTCTGAGCCACCACATTTTCTTCCCCTGGGGGCGCACTGGTCAGTGGTTGGCCAGTGGTCATCAGGGGGGATAATCAGACAGGACAAGGTATGTTTGCTCTGCTCTTCTGTCTTTTATCCCTAATAATGGATTGGTGTAGTGAGAGAAGAGATAAAGGTTTTTTCCAAAGCTACTAAGTTTTCATTGCTTCATAGATCAGCAAACATATTTTTCCCAAGGAAAAACATATTTAAGCGTAAGATAGCTATAATAGTGAAATATGTTTAGTGTAACTAAAATGCCTCAGTAACCATTTTAATTAGAATCAAATAGACTAACTGAAAAAGAGTCAAATTCATAAAACTGCAAAAGATTTTCAGTAATATAGGGCACTGTGCCCCAACCTAAATGAACTACCATGAACTATTAAAATTAAACACACATAAAACATACACAGTTTGTGTTTATTAAAATATTCCATCAATCGCCAAAACCCTTTTCCTCCTGCTGGTTCATACTGGTCTAGGGGAGGAATTAGGATGTTCAAAGTCCTCAGAGGCAAGCCATTTTAAAGAGAATGAACACCTAATTTTTAAATCTGAAAAAAATATTATCGGGAGGCACCTGTGGCTCAGTGAGTAGGGCACCGGTCCCATATAATGAAGGTGGTGGGTTCAAACCCCGCCCAGGCCGAACTGCAACCAAAAAATAGCCGGGTTTTGTGGCAGACGCCTGTAGTCCCAGCTACTCGGGAGGCTGAGGCAAGAGAATCACTTAAGTCCAGGAGCTGGAGGTTGCTGTGAACTACGTGATGCCATGGCACCCTACTGAGGGCAATAAAGTGAGACTCTGTCTCTACAAAAAAAAAAAAAAATACATCGTTCTTTTTATTTTTTTAAAGGATAGTTAAGTGTAGTACTGGGAGTGGAGAATAAAAGAATATTTATGTTTAAGCCAGCTGGTTCTAAGTTCCAATAACAATGAGGATGGTGATGATGGCCAGCACACACTTCCTTAGAGCCAGACGTTGTGATAAGCTCTTATGTGCATTCACCCAGCCAATCCTAACACCACCCCCACGAGGTGGTGATTATAATTAGATGTATCTAACACATAAGAACAATCAGGCACCAACAGGTTAGGTAATCTGTGTCTGAAGTAACAGAACTACTAAGTAGCAGAGCCAGTGTTTGAATTTTGTTTTCTTATCATTTTTTTTTTTGACATGCAGGCTTGCTCTGTTGTTCAGACTAGAGTACGGTGGCATCGTCATAGGTCACTGTAACCCGAAACTCCTGGACTCAACTGATCCTGCTGCCTCATCCTCCTGAGTAGCTGGGACTCCAGACATTTGCCACCATGCTGGGCTAATTTTTCACTTTTTGTAAAGACAGGGTTTTGTTCTTGCTCAGGCTTATCTCCAACTCCTGGCCTCAAATGATCCTCCCAGCTTGATTTCCCAAAGTGCTAGGATTACAGGTATGAGCCACTGTGCCCAGCCCTAAATGCATCTCTTAACCAATATACTACAAAAATTGGGGTAACGGCTGGGGAAGAAATAACCAGTTAATTCCCAATAT